TTGCCGAAACAGTGTCCGCTCGATATCTCGAGTAATTATTAACGGATTAACTTCAAACTTCACAACAAGGTTAATTACCATGAAAGCTTGGACAAGTTTGATAACCGCTATTATCCGACCGTAATTACTGGAGTTATTACCCTTGGTTTCATTAATGCGATGCATGCGTTCCATGATGTTGTATTGCACTCATTGATCTACCAGTTATGTTGAATGATTTCTCTTTTAATATCAATTACTCACAAATACTTCATATATTTCTATCATACAAACAACTGCTCATTCAATGTGTGACGGGCGTATTATATACCGCTCGCGGTAACCTTGTATATCGTTGTTGTTGTTGATGATGTTGTTGTTGTTGTTGTTGTTGTTACATACGATGTAAATACTAAATAGGGAAAAAAAATGAAGGATCCGTTATTAAATAAGGTTTGGACGTTCCTGTTTATTTTGCAGATTTAAGAATAATCATCATTAAATTCCTTTTAAAAAAAACCCACACTATTAGTTTATAGATTTTCCAAAGTATTGTTTGCTTGATATATTTTTAATTTGTATTTATTGGATAAGTTTTGATGTCATTTTTGCCAGACCTACAACAGATCTATGTACTGTACTGTAGACCCTATGAACTGTTTCGGAGATTCTGCCTATTTTATAGTTATATGTACATGTGCCAGTGAGAGTATTTAGGTGAAGAAAAATACATTAATATCGTCACACATATATATACAACGCATGTATATACATTTAAGTTAATTTATTCAGTACTTATCATAGAGTTGTTTATTCATTTTCAACGCTTTACATGCATGTATGCATCAAAATAACAATACATGTACGCATACAAATTTATGCATATGTATGCTTAAAGCAGGAGTTTTTGAAGGCATAGTAGACCCTTCTTGTAGTAACTACTGCTTTCAGGAAAGGTCCACAGTATAGCCTTAATGCATCACCTGTTGATGTAAACGAATCTTATTCCAAGCGTAAAATTCAAATATGAAAAATATGTACCACATCGGCGAACTGGTGCAGGATCATAAGAGGTGACTCATGTGTGACCCCTATTGAATCTCGAGCCGGGGTTGTGGTTTCTTCCTTGTGTTCTGTTTAAGGGACACGGCAAAACCAAGGTTATACCAGCTGTATATCAATGTTTGCTACAGACAGCACAGATTTCCAGTACCTGGTCATGTATTGTAAATTATATCTATAAGTAGCTATCAATGTTTATTACAGCCAGCACAGATTTCCAGTACCTGGTCCTGTATTGTAATTTATATCATTGTATCTATAAGATATATCCTACCGCATGTTGTCGTAACGACCTTGGTAGTTGCGAGAACGTTAAACTCAATACCTCCCCCCCCCCCCCCCCCCCCCCCCCCCCCCCNACCGGAAGTAGATACATACCAATCACATTTTGACCTATGTTGATGGAATAAGGTTTGAAGGGCTATCGTCAGTTGCTCTTAAAAGCATATTACAATTGCGAACGTATAATGCAGATGAAGCCTTTACTCCTAAACAGATATTAAAAATTAAGTTTAATGTATAGTATAGTATGCCCTATAACATTATTATTAATGTCGTCCGTGTGTGCGCAAATGTAAACCGGATAGACAAATATATTTTATCTTTTGACAAATATTGTTTGCAGCAGAGTTTTTTTAGTTTAGTTTAAACATATTTATTGCCAAAATTAGACAAGGGATTAGGCACAAGTTATAACAACTTATCAACGCCTTCTCCCAATATACATTTGAAATGACATTACAATAATGACAATAAATATATACAATTGTTATTACAATTTGAACTCAAAATCTCTTGCTGTTTAATAAAGTTTTGCACAGATCTAAAAATGTTTGAGTTGCAGCAGAGTAGAATATACTCATAATATTATTGTACTTTGGTATTCATTTGTTTGAATCACATTGCAAGAATATTGCATTTTACCTTGTGCGCACACAGACAAACCGGATGTATATATATTTCTATAACCCTGAGGCAGATATTGAAATATGCCAACCGAAAGTAGGCATATTTTCTGAACCCTTTAACAAATTCTGATTGTTTTTCTTTAATTGTGAAAAGAGATGCTCTATAAATTTGAACACGCAGAAACATGGATGTATAACATATCTGATGTATCAAAGTACAACTGATTTATAAAAGTACATGTACTTAACACGTTGATACATTAAACATATACATGCGCCTATATGCGGGGCCACGGTGGCCAAGTGGTTAAGGCGTGACATTCTGCTATCATTATACCCCTCCACCACTGGGTCACGGGTTCGAAGCCAAAGTTGGGCAGTCGCCAGGTACTGGCCACTGATCGGTGGTTTTTTCTCCGGGAACTCTGGGTTTCCTCCATCACCACAACTTGGCACGTCCTTAAATGACCCTAGCTGTTAAAAGGACGTGAATCACAAACAAACCAAACCAAAACGCCTATATGCATAATGCATAATTATATTTAGAGTATATGCATTTGAGATACTTTAATACAATAGTGGTATTGATATACATGCATCAACGTTTATAGTACAAGTACTTAGAAGTATATGCACTTTTAAAATAAAAAATAAAAAACAAGATCATAAGTGTGTCTATGGGTGCAGCACATAAGCTCAAAACTTTCGTCTCTTCCATATTCTCTCCGTATACGTAGAAGACACTGAAGTGAACCACCTTTTCTACAGGGCCCCCACATTAGTCCCCAGTCACAAGGCATCCTTCCATGTCCTCTTAACAAAAGACAAAAAAACTTTGTATAAACCTACGTCATAAGGGGCCCACATTAGTCCCCAGTCACAAGGCATCCTTCCAAGTCCTCTTAACAAAAGACACAAAAAACCCTTTGTATAAACCTACGTCATAAGGGATAATACATTACAACATAATTAAATTCAAATAATTTACTTAAGACTGAATGCCTATGTTCTCTGCTTGAGCTGCACCAACGCAATACTGAATAAACCGTCAAGAAAAGCGCCACCTGGTGCAACGTAGTAGCTTGTAGTTATTCCCCCTGATATCGCTTTATATTGCTATACTATATGAATAGTAAATTCCAATATGCAACGATGAATCGTGTAAAATTAGCATATATTAATCATAGTACTTAAATGTATATATACTTAAAACCTGACAACATAAAAAATATTAAAGTTGATACCAATTAAATGTAATGAGTTTGGACATCAAATGTACACGGCACATACAGCTGTCCAACAAGATAAATATCTAATATCCAATATGAAACAAAATAACCTTCAAACATATATTCTAATATTATATTAATATATCCGTTATAGTTTGCATCGGCAGACATAACTGTCAATGATCTGTGCTAGTTTTAATTTGCATATGAGATAACTGTGTTATTTAAGGATTAACTTGAATATATTTTGTATGTTATGGAGATATCACACCAAAAAACGGAGTGTACTCTAAATAAACCGCGAAGCGTTTTATGATGAGAGTACACTCCGTTTGTGTGTGTTATAGCTACATAACATAAACAATATATTCAAGTTAATCCTCATAATTTAATCTACTATACACAATCCCTGTCGAAATCCACTTTTATTGATGGACTTTTTTCTCTTAGAAATTATTAAACCGTTTAATATAACAGGAAGTCGCTGTTTTCACTCACAGAATCACACATTCTGAAAAACTGTTCATCGGTCAATATCCAGAGACAAAAACAATTGGCAAACAATTACTACGCAGGTTTTTCATTTAAACATATTTACTGCCCCCAATGTGAGCAGAGTGTTAAGCACAAGTTATATAAACTTTCAACACCCTTTTCTCTATAATACTGTGCATATTGATATATACATGATAGCATTTTACAAGGCATATCACCTGTTGCTGGATTTGGTGAAAAAATGCACGTGTCTGAATACCTCTGTATTAGTATTTACGGACAGAATTTCATTACCAAATAAATATAAATTAACTGGATGTACAATGTATATTCAACGAGCTTATGTTTTGAAATAGCGTAACTCGTGCTTTATATTAAAAAGCTTACATTCTAAGAAAATTCGCCAACACCCTCACAGGAATGTCCATAAACACACGACAGATTATCAACAATCTTAACACGGAACAAATCAATCGTTTTCATAGAGTTGCAATAATGCCGGAGTTTCGTATGTAATATACTTATATTGCGTTCGCCAAAAATGTAATAAGATGGTTGAGACGAATTTGCACCACTAAATAAAGAAGATTTCTTCTAAAGCAACACAAATATTTTAGGGAAAGTATAATTTTCCTCAAGTTCTCATGACAATATTTTCCTGACATTTTCACGTTTATAACCGAACAGTTCTAGACGGCATTTTACAGTTCTCTCTGATATTTTGACTGGTACTTCACTGACAGGAATCCACCTATTTACCTTTACAAACCTTATTCATTCATGATAGTTCCATGCTGTCGAAATTTTTGGTCTCCCTTTCCGGAGGCTGTTTTTTTCTTTCTATCCGCCTTCCTTGTCCTTGTACCCAATATCTATTCAAACGTTTCTCATTTTTCTTTCTTTTTGCNTGTCCTGAACAGCGTTTCAAAATCTTAGAAATTGCAGATCGATCCCCTTGGAGAAATTTTGCTATTTGCTATTCAATGAGTACTCTACCCATCATTACGTTATCCTGTAATCGTTTATTCCGTCTTTGCGTATTGCAGAGTTATCTTCTCTTGTGAGCAGGTGTTGATTGTTACGTACTTTGTTTGGTACGTCGTTTTCTCGAAAATTGATGACGTTACTCTCACAAACAAATGACGCAACAATCAATACCTGCTCACAAGAGCAGATAACTCTGCAATACGCAAAGACGGAATACCTTGGGTCATTTCTGTCCGTCTCTGCAATTCCATTCGGCACACGACGTCATAGACAACCCCAGTCATTCGTAAGCTTGATTTGTTTATATTAGAAACAGAAAAGGGATAACTGTTACAATGTACATTTTAGCTGCATTGCGTAATTGCATCAATGAGAATTATGTTCTTTTCTTTTCAACCCAGCAAAAACAAATGATGAGTAGCGACATCTTTTTTTAGGACAGACATTTTACCTTAGGCTGTAGTATAGTGTTCTAATTAATGTCTCTTTGAATGAAACCATCCACTTCCGGTTTAATTTACCAGGGTGTCTTTCCCTGTAGGAACTATCGATTTATCTTTTCACCACGTGTATCGGGATAGGGAATAAGGATTTGTGAAATATCGTTGATAGCGTTTAACTTGCAGTATTAGCTATTTAGAAAACGTTCATACGTCAAATAATTGAAGACTGACCGTTTGGGGAAATGTGTCGTGCTTGTGAGCACTTCAGCAGTGTTTTTTTACAGCACATTTTGAGAACTTTATAAAGACTTGCTATGCTATAATGCTGTATTTTGACTATGTTGTAGATAGCGAACGAGAACGGCATATCCCGTCGGATATTTTATGTATGTTTGGCGGGCTCTGGGCTCATAATGCTAACCATAAGTACGGTGCTCTTCCTGCCAAAGTCCTACATCACAAAGCAGAAGATCCGCCGGAAGTCGTGCGAGCTGGAGATCAAGAGCGGGCGACTTTTGGCAGAAATAAAAGGTAAATAAAGGAAAAGTTTACCTAAATGATACAAATACGTATATTTGGTTATAACGATATTTGTCTCCTTATACTATTGCGTACAGTAAATGAGGTAGAATATTTAGCGGGAAAATCTCCAGTAGCTCTACGGGGACACCTCCAGTAGTTTCACGCAGTCACCTCCAGTTGTTTTACTAGGACACCTCCTGTAGTTTTCAGAGTCATCATCAGTAGATGCGAAGTCACTTCCAGTAGCTTTACGGGGACACCTCCAGTAGTTTTACGGGGTCACCTCCAGTAGTTTTACGCAGTCACCTCCAGTTGTTTTTACAAGGACACCTCCAGTATTTACGAGAACACTTTCAGTATATTTACGGGAACACCTCTAGTTGTTTTACGTGGACACCTCCAGTTGGCGTACGGGGACACCTCCAGTAGTTTTACGGGGACACCTCCAGTTGGTGTACGGGGACACATCCAGTAGTTTTACGGGGACATATCCTGGAGTTCGCTAATTTGTATAAGAACTTCTCAAGTAAATATTAAGAATAAATGGTTTACATTGGTATGTTTTTGTTTTTTAATTAAAAAAAAAAAAAAAAAAATAGATGAAAGAAAGTACACGCACACAGACGATGCATGAAACGCTGATGTCAATTGGTTCACGAACATATATCAGCGGGATACGTGACACTAGTGTGTACAGCCCTGACCTTATGTTTTGACATTCTCTTGTTACACTCTCAGGTTATTGTCAGCACTGTTTGACACGTACTCCGCCGTGGAAACTTTAACACAGGTATATCTACATTAAAATATTTACTCATAGGGAGCATGTGTAATGTACACTGAACGTTCAGAACAACATACTGGTTATTTTGGGTACCAATGTAGAAAAACAATGATTTTCTTTGTAAGTTTGAAACAAGATACATAGAATAATATTGTATGCATTGTAGTTGAGAAGCAAACAAATACAAAAAAAAAGAAAAAAAAACAACAGTTTGGCTATTTTCACATGTTGAAACCAGGATGTTAGGTGTTATGTACCATTGTATTGATTTAGAAGAAGATATATAGAAAAGAGTAATGAAGAGAGAGAGAGAGGGACAAGAAAGAAGGGAAGGTTGGAGAGGTGTCGAAGGATTTGACAAGGGCTTATCATATTTCGTTTATTACCCCGACGATAACAACAGCTAGGGAACCTGATCCTCCTCACTCTATTTCGCTATGATAAAATAAGTCATTTACCTTGCAGTAGAGAAACGCAATTCTATGTTTCCCGTCAATTAATCATGTTTCACGAGGGTGGATCAAATCAACTTGTTTTTATAGGAGGCTTAGGTTCTCTCATGAGTCTATTTTAATTGCTTACATGTATTAACGATATACCTGATAAACTGCTTCATCTGTCAACATGTATATGTAATATTGCATTAACAGCGATTTACCTACATTAATCACACTTTTGTCTCTGATAATATACATTTTCCCCATGTGATACAAGTGTTGTATGCGTTATCAGTGCCCGGGCTGATAAACAGTTTTTACCCCAACCCGGGCCAATAATTAGTTATCAGCCCGGGCTGATATCACGTCATCCGGGTTCTTCACTACGGATTTCAGTTTTACTTTTACACGCTTCGGTTTCCGACACACGCGATAGCAAAAACCACAACAACAATTAATTGTGAAATTAATTTTGTTTTGTTTTTCAAAAATGTATAATAAAAAGGTTATTATATGGCTATTTTGATATCACACCCTTCGTCAGCCCTTGATCTGATACAAGCCCTCAAGACTGCGGCCCTCGGACTTATATCAAGGTCTTAGGCTGATAAAGGGTGTGCTATCAAAAATGTCATATAAGAACCTCTACGTATTACATTTTGAATTTATTGCTGGTCAAAAGAGTGGCAGGTAGACTATACTAACGGAAACTGGGAATGTCATTCGAGGGCAGCTCGAGCTGCAACTGAGGCTTGATGCCTTCAATATGCGAAAAGCGTGGGTATGACTAGGAAAAACCCAGCAAAATTGAAATAACACGATTATTTGGTAAGATTAGTTTATTTCATTGGAATTAGCGTCTATTAACAGCTAAGGTCAATGAAGGATGTGGCTCCATGTGTGTTTTGTATGGGTGCTTGTGTGTATGTGCGTTTGAGTTGATAAATTGGTGTATTTGCTTTCTTGCGATTGCGCGGATTTGATGCCTACTTTAGAGAGCTACCTCACTGAAATATCATGCCGAACGCACCCGACACAATATGGGTATGATGAAGTCACATCTGTGTTGTTTATCGTGTTATGAGATTTTTCTGAACAGTATCTTAGCCCTTCATCAGTTGTGCTTTCCTCGGAAGTTTCCGTAATTTCCCTACGGGAATGACCGAGACTATCTAGTAATAGGAGGGCGGAGAGAGTATTGTATATCAATACCTCGTTGCAGACGATGGTACATGTACTTTTTAAAAGTTCTCCATTTAAAGGTTGGGTGCCCAATTTCATGCTTCAGTAGGCCATAACAGCTTGATATTTTGTAGAAATAAAATCTAGGTCATGATGAAATTGGATTTCTTTTTTAGGATAAATCAGATAAGAAATATATAGGAAAGCGACAGGTGAAAGCTTAACGGTCAAATTAGGTGGCTAGAAACACTAGAGGTCTAACTTCTAAAACGTACTGTATATGGTAGGTACGCTTCTAGATTCGGTAATTTTGGAGCGGGCGATAATTACAATGTGTATACAAGAGTGGTATTGTTGCCCCGTATCAGTTTAACTGGCCTATCAAACTGGTACCTTTTACAAGAAAACAAAACTATATACCAGCAATTGCGAAAAAAATGGCTGCCATGCAAAGAACATTAGTGGACATTTTTGGTTGGTTGTTGGTTTGACTTACTACCTGGTACTTGTGTATTGAAAAAATGACGAGAAAAATATAAGGAATAAGTGACACCCATATAAATATATACACAGCATAATATGAGGTGCATCTGTCAACAGACTGTTTAGTGAATATCAATTATACATGTGTATATATTTTATATTATTTTATTAATTTCATGAAGTTTTCATATCGGAGGTATAGCACTCCGATCCACGTCAATAGGACCGTCCTCGATACTCCAGGGCAGGGGTCTCTTTGACATATTCTAGGGGTGCAGAGAGCGTAAGTGAGCGTAACTTCTGGAGTATCGAGGATGCAGTAGGCCTCACGTATTAAAACATTACGTGTACAAAGGCAGATAACTCCTTTTTGTTACTTCTATTGCTTCTGCTACTGCTGCGATAATAGTACTACAGGCACACACTCGCGTGCACAGCACTTGTATAGCCCTCCAAACCCTCTTATCCATACATACACACACGCGCAAATATTGATAAATGTATGTGCGCTACTTAAATATATTTACAGTCTTTACTGACACTCACTCAATACCCATTGTTCCCGCAAACAGGAGTTGTCGTCTCATAATTAACCTTACCATTGGGACAAATTTCCTGTTACGTTGGCAACAATACAAGTGGGCGGAACTTTGCAAATTTTACAAGAACTAGACACAATTTTGTGACGTCATTAACATTAAATGTGGGCAATGACAATGACAAGTTTTATTCTCGGAAACTGGTTACAGTGTAGGGAATTTATATGTCCATATATATGACAATTGACACATAAAACATGGGCGGAGTTAACCAAGGCTTATGCAAATTTCAGGCTGTTACTTTTATTGAACCGATCGCACGTTATTATGTTTTGAAAATGAAACTTGTGTCCCCTGATTTGACTGATAAATAGAATAGTTCTGAACTGAAACATCACCAGAAAAATGCTGTGAATATAAGGAATAGCTTTTTCTATTTTGGTCAAGTTATTAGGTGATAATTCCAGCTGAGCACATTTAAATTTATCATAGACGGATGCGATAAATTTCCTCGTGCCCAAGTGGAGTCATTACTTCATAACCTGACCAAAATAGATAAATATTCCTTAATGAAATCGATGAGCTTAACTCATTCACCCCTGAAGACACATTTGAACCCTTCCAATTCAATGGTTGGAGTAGTTTATTATGAAATTTCAGGGGTGAAAGAGTTAACTGCTGAATCTACCCGGGCAACCAAACGATATCACTTTATAATGGTTGATGCTAAGTTGTAAACATACTTTACTGCAGGTTTTAAGCACCAGAGGGAGACGGACGAAACATCTATACGCGCATGCATACTGTCACCTACGTACCTCGTGCACGTGGCCTGGATGAGCATCAATACTGTCACGTTCGTCACCTTTATCGGACTGGTCAACGTCAACCTAGAGCAGTTGTCTAGTAACAAACAAGTCAGTAAGTATAGCTTTGTCATGGTCACTCGAGTGTGTGTGACACGTTCACCAACATCTTTATCATGGTCACTCGAGTGTGTGTGACACGTTCATCAACACCTAATGTGTATTGTTTGAGGGCTTTGGAGAAAGGATCATCACAATTGTGAATGTTGCAGCCCACACATTAGTTACGACGTATTTAGCCTTGAAAGTATATAACCCAGCGACTTTATTCTCCAATGCTTTTAAATCCTTAAGTTAAAGCCTGATACTGTACATGCGTTTACTAATGGAACGCTAAAATGTTCTGACAAACAGAAAGGGTTGTTCAAAAGCCCTGCACTTACGCCAACATTTGACCATTCTTTTCTGCTCCAACGAGGTAAAACAGGTACACTGTTCCCATCACTTTACCTTCATCTTTATAACAGCGTGTCTGATTGAATTGGATGCTATTGATCACATGACAGGGCAATTAAACAATATATCATCCTCACGCGCTCGAGGTTTCCTTGATCATATATCCATTATTCGGAGACTCTTTATAAGAATACGCAAGAGCAATCCATGACCGAGTTCCGAATGACTGAACCTGATTATTTGTGTTATTGGATTATTCCTCTCTTTTTTGGCATAATAAAATACTGATTGCCGTTTTGATAGTGAATCACGATTCTTTGTTTCTCCTCTTGTTAATCATGTATAACTCGGGGCTTTCGCCTTCATGAAGCATGATCTATCTTGGAGAAACAATGCATCGTGCCTCCCTACCATAATGGCAATACATTGATTAAAATTGTAGGGTAACACTGATATTATATTCTCTACTCTACAGTCAGTAAATACCTTGGTGTGTTTGCCTATACCACCATGTGTACGGTAGTGGCGGGACTGCTGGCGGGGATGAGTTATGACTGTCAACGCAGACGATATCATAGTGAGTTCACAAATAATAAACATTACATTGTGCTTACCATAATAAATAATGGGTGAAAACCAGGTTTACCGAAACCCTACTGCTGGAGTTCACTAGTACCAGGTATAAAACATTATCTCGTGTAGCCGAATGGTGTAAAGGAGGTGTCAATGTGATGTGTTCGAATATAACTTGTGGGACGAAATGTGATACAGATGCATACAAAACTAGGTTTCACTCTTGTTGCAAAATGTGAAAAGATCTGTTTGCAGTCATTTTGAACTTGGAATGTTACAAAAAGTATCTTAACCAATAGAGTACATCTAATTGTAACTACATGTACTTTCAGAAAAATCAGAGGTCTAGTTTTGCTGTAATCGCCTAAAACCTGTTCCGTCCCTTCTCTAACTTCACCCCTCATATTCCTATACAGGGACCGATTGATCTGGGGGCGAACCCCAATTTCATGATGCCCTAACGTTAGACTTTATTTCTGCAAAATTTAATGCCTATTGGTTATGGCACAATGAGGCATTAAAACACATCCAACATAGAGTTAAATGGGGTTTTGTACACGTATTTCCCCTTTTAGCTGTATTTCAATATTGGATTAATCTGCATCTGAAGTACCACTGATGTCTCCGAAATGGATATAATATTCAAATGGTCCAATTTAACAAATTGAAAAGGCGCATCCTCATAATTCTAGCAATAACAATTGTTTGTTCATTTTGACCATATTTGCTCAAGTTCCTCAACCTCTTGTTTTCCAACAAATAGAATTTCACTCTGTATGAATTCCCAACAGGAATGCTATCACGCAGTTGTTAATAAACTCTTGGATGGTATAGTGTAAAACAGTCCCCTATCTTGCTGAGGACAATGACATATACTCGAAACAGGAAACATAAAATCCAAAATTTGCAACAAAAAAGGTCATTGCTTAGAGGCAATAGAACCCACGTTGTAGAAGTTTGAAATGGCCTTGGTATTTTTGTTTTTCGTTTAATAAACACAACTATTTTGGCTTTTTTGGGGGGAATATTATTTTGTAAAAACGTGTTTGACCTATATTGGTTGACCCTGATTTGTTTTATTTGACCTTCAGACTATCCGTTGCCGGTTAGAGTATGGCGGCCCGTCTTGTTGCCAATGACAATGACGGGGATCCTTGGGTCCATGGTATACGTGCTTCTCCTGGTGGGACACCTCAGCGTCATGGTGCCGACATTTGTCCTGTTCACGCTCTACCGCTCCTTCCTCTACTCTATAGGAGTGGCATTCGTCAACGACGCGTAGGTTACTTTTAAATATCACCTACGTTCACCATTAGCGCTCACAAAATAGATAACACTGAAGCCAATTATGAAAATTTCTTTTTACACAACCAATAACATTTTCTATGTGACGTTTGGATGACTAGTACGATATGTACACTGTCACCTTCATCAGACAAATGACCAGTGAAGCGTATGCACACAAGGTGTAAAATGTGTACGAGTTGTCCACAAAATCGACAAAGCATAGCTGAATCGAGTCATTTCGGTACATACATAACAACTATTGTACATATGCTTACAGCGTAGCCGAAATCGACATAGATTTTGCGGACATCTATCCCGTACCACATTTTACAACGTTGTGTACATACGCTTCACTGGTCATTTGTCTGATGAAGGTGACAGTGTACATATCGTACTAGTCATCTAAATGTCACATAGACAATTGCATTGGTTGTGTAAAAAGAACTTTTCATAAGCCATACTGACCAACCTGAAGAAAATGTTTAGAAACACTGAAGCTGGTAAAATTATAAACATATATAAAAATATATATACGATATATATCAAATCTCTAGTTATTGTAGTGTGTTTTAACACTGTTCAATAAAAAGGTACAAATGACATAAACACCAACATCTTTTAAATATAGAAGACTATATCTTCCTAGTATTAAGTGTTTGACAAAATTGTATTTTGATGTTTATGTTACAGTTTATAAATGTGATTTGTCAGTGAGTTGTGGTGTATTGAATTTCAGTGAGTTTTGAAAAATTTGTCTACGAATTTTGGTGTTTTACAACATTCATCAACGAGTGGTATTGTAGTGCAATTTTTGCTTTGTAATATTCGTCACGAGGTGTGCGGTGTATTGTTATTTGTATACGTTCGCCTTAAGGCAAGCCTATATTGGCGTCATCTTGTCCTTCCGCTCCCTCAACTTGTTACACTTGTGGGGTGAACTGCAAGAGTATCTTCATAACTTGTGAGGATTTCACGACTTGTCGGGTAAACACACAAAATGAGAACAACAACTTAACCTCAAAGACCGCAAATGGGCATACATGTAATATCACGCCCTTAGTGAAGATGTTCCGCCGTTCGTCCATCTGTCAACATTTGACGTTTCCACAGGTTATACGGCAAAAGTTGATGTCACAGTTACATAATGTTTACATGGTAATGTGTAAAAAGTATGCAGGTTCCTGGCTTAAGGTTTCACCTTAATTTCATGAAACTTCTTTCAAATATTTCTGATACCAAAATGTAGAGACAGGTTGTTCAAAAGAGTTTGTAGGATTTGTAATTGAGTTGTTGTGTATTGCAGGTTTTGCAATTGAGTTGAGGTATGTATTAGATATTGACAGCAGTGGCGTAGCATACACTAACATTTTCAAGATATTTTTTATCATATATTTTCATTAATATTTTTTTTATGATTAATATGGACCTTGTGTATCAATCATAAAAAAATAACAAACAAATAACAAAAATCTTAACAAAATTTCAGTCTGATAAAATAATGTTGTTATGTCTATACACAAAGGATAATCTCGAAGGTTTACGAAAATCAAAAACTACTAAGTGAAGAACACAATTCACAGAAAAAGTCGAGTTTTACTTGTAAATAATCAGACTAAAAGGATTTCCCAGAGTACGAGATATTGCTTCTAGACCCTAGTAGGATTATTTTTTTCAGCTATGGGAGGTGAACTCCCTCTCACGTACCATTCCCATCCTCCAGCGCTCCGCGTCAAGGACGCTCGACCCCCTGTAAGCATAAATGTACACTCTGAAAAATGATTTGCTTCGCCATTGAACAGTCGTAGTGTTGTGATTGTCGTCAGTGAGTCGTGATGTTGTGATTGATGTCAGTGAGTTGGTATGTTGTGATTGATATTAATGAATTGTGATATGATTGTTGTCAGGGAGTTGTGGTGTTGTAGGAAATGTTTGTATTGAAACAATTGTCAGCGATTTCTTGTGTATTGCAGGTTTCCGGAGCAACACTTTGGAGCCCTATACGGTATAATGACCTTTTCCACTGGACTCTTCAGTATGCTACAATACGGCTTCTTCTCCTGGTTCGACGCGTACGAGGACGCCAATGTGCACGTGTGTTCTTAATTAGTTTTTTAAATTTGTTTTTTTGTTTCTAAATTTAAATGAATATATATTTAATAAATGATATGAGCTATGTTGTAATGCAGTATCTTCCCTACATATTCCTAAATGAATAATATGTTGAAAAATGGTTATAAAGGAATATTAGATAAAAAGGAATGGAGACATATATTTAATTATTGTTCACAGATTTCCCTGTTAACAGAGCAAAACTTAAGTAAATTAGACAGTGTATCTAGAGAAGCGCTTCATCCATCTTGAGTGCTTATACAAAACACAGTGTAGCTGTCGTGTGTGTTAATACAGAAACATGTTAGCTATCGTGTGTGTTATTACAGAAACATGTTAGCTATCGTGTGTGTTAATACAGAAACGTGTTAACTGTCGTGTGTGTAAATACAGAAACGTGTTAGCTATCGTGTGTGTTAATACAGAAACGTGTTAGCTGTCGTGTGTGTTAATACAGAAACGTGTTCGCTATCGTGTGTGTTAATACAGAAACGTGTTAGCTGTCGTGAGTGTAAATACAGAAACGTGTTAGCTATCGTGAGTGTAAATACAAAGCAAAGTTTAGCTGTCGTGTGTGTTAATACAGAAACGTGTTAGCTATCGTGCGTGTTAATACAGAAACGTGTTAGCTATCGTGAGTATTAATACAAAGCACAGTTTAGCTGTCGTGTGTGTTAATACAGAAACGTGTTTCTTATCGTGGGTGTTAATACAGAAACGTGTTAGCTATCGTGGGTGTTAATACAGAAACGTGTTAGCTATCGTGAGTGTTAATACAGAAGCGTGTTAGCTGTCGTGTGTGTTAATACAGAAACGTGTTCGCTATCGTGTGTGTTAATACAGAAACGTGTTCGCTATCGTGTGTGTTAATACAGAAACGTGTTAGCTGTCGTGTGTGTTAATACAGAAACGTATTAGCTGTCGTTTGTGTTAATGCAGAAACGTGTTAGCTGTCGTGTGTGTTAATGCAGAAACGTGTTAGCTATCGTGTGTGTTAATACAGAAACGTGTTAGCTATCGTGTGTGTTAAGACAGAAGCGTGTTAGCTATCGTGTGTGTTAATACAGAAACGTGTTCGCTATCGTGTGTGTTAATACAGAAACGTGTTACCTGTCGTGTGTGTAAATACAGAAGCGTGTTAGCTGTCGTGAGTGTTAATACAGAAACGTGTTAGTTATCGTGTGTGTTAATACAAAGCACAGTTTAGCTGTCGCATGTGTAAATACAAAAACGTGTCAGCTATCGTGAGTGTTAATACAGAAACGTGTTAGCTATCGTGAGTGTAAATACAGAAACGTGTTAGCTGTCGTGAGTGTAAATACAGAAACGTGTTAGCTGTCGTGAGTGTTAATACAGAAACGTGTTAGTTATCGCGTGTGTTAATACAAAGCACAGTTTAGCTGTCGTGTGTGTTAATACAGAAACGTGTTCGCTATCGTGTGTGTTAATACAGAAACGTGTTAGCTGTAGTGAGTGTTAATACAGAAACGTGTTAGCTGTCGTGTGTGTTAATACAAAGCACAGTTTAGCTGTCGTATGTGTAAATACAGAAACGTGTCAGCTATCGTGAGTGTTAATACAGAAACGTGTTAGCTGTCGTGTGTGTTAATACAGAAACGTGTTAGCTATCGTGTGTGTTAATACAAAACACAGTTCAGCTGTCGTAAGTGTTATTACAATAACGTTTAGGTACCTTGCATGTCAACGTTATATTTTAGTAACAACTCCGATCATTACAAAAATTCGATGTCTAATAATGTTACCATTTTTTTGTTTGTATGTCACTTTATTTTTGCGATATGCCTGTACCTGTAATATTGTTCCTTCAGGTGACGATTTTTCTCCTGTTCCTTTGCCTTGTGACGTTTATACACCCGCTACAGTTAGGGATACGGAGTTTCAAGAAGTGCACCACCGACACGAACACAGAACAGGCCTTCCTGCCACCGGTCACGACTGATTCAGAGGAAGGCCATATCTTGAGGAAAACTTGATGAGTGGTGCCACTAGAGACATATCATAATGTAATCAGTGTAGAATAAGTGTACTTAACCACAGATGTACAGGTCTTCCACATTGGACACGGACGGAGAAAATGTGGCCTTGTAAGGCAAATATATGATGATGCCACTCGGTAAGCCTCCTTTTCGATTTCCGTTCTGACCAACATGATAATAAACCAATGAAGAACACCAGTAGAATTCAACTAATGCTGGCACCCTTAAACTGTTCGTCAGGTCAGTTCAGAAGCAAACAATTATGTGTGGCATGTATCGAAACTGGCGACTGATATATCAAGTCATCTTGCAGCAGAACAAATAACACTGTATGAAATGTAGCAATGGTAGCTACTCACATAGTGTCTAGTGGTGTTCCCAATATCATAAATCATCGATATCATGTGACTCGTTTTTTCATATACCATCTACATATTTAGATCCAGGGTAGTGTACATGTATGGAAGGCGTTTTAATATCGTAATTTATAATTAAGCTCGGCTCAAACATTTATTGAGTTATTCAAAACACGATCTGTACACATTGTATATGAATGTGTCTGAAGATAGGTCGAAGTAGTGAAATTTATCTCAATTATGAATAATTTCATGAACTCATAATTGACTTCAGGGAGATTTGATACAATTTTCCTTATTTGTTCAAATCTATCATGTCTATATACACACCTCTAACTAGCGTCCATAAGTTCTTGTAGAAATGTTGACGTGATGATGTTAATAGACATTCCAAGTAAACATTTTTTTTCTTTCCGTGTATCATGATTGTCCACTCACACAGGGTAACATATCGGAAGTTACAAGTAGAAAAGGTATTGTTTCTATAACGTTCAAGATATAAAAAGCGCTGACACATTGATGTTATCATAGAAAAAATCCAAAGACAGGGGAAATGGGTCTCAAATGAAATACTATGCCGAAGGCACCCAGCACAGTATTCCATCCGTTTACATTATACTGACAACGGGTGAACCAGCTGTTATGAACACCATTTATGCTGAACTTTAAGCAGGAAATAACAGCTACCCGTTAAAGGACTTTGGTATTTCCTGGCCTGGGGACAGCACTTATTGTCAACCCCACATGGGCAAACGCTCAACATAAAGGCCAAAAGTGAGGTATTGCCAAGCAAGGCACTAGAAACAAAATGGCTGCTACTTGTAGGGTGTAGAGAGAAGATCCCATATGTTGCAATGGGGGCAGCAGATCAATTGATGTTTCTTCAATGTCTCCTTGGCAGAAGCAGGACACCCACATTAGACGCCTTTAATGAAATGTAATATTAATAATATACAACATTTGGTATAGCACCCTATCTAGCTAACATAAGACACTCTAAAGCGCTTTACAGTACATAGATATACAATTTAATACAGTCAATACAATTAACATATACATTAATCAATACAATATTGAGGAATTCGCAGGAGCTGCCTTATTAGGCGCTAACTAATAGTCCTATGCCACCTGGCTAATATCTCCCTATGTGTCCATGCCTGTGTGTGTGCTGGAGATGTATTGTGGTTTGTTTGTAGTGGGACCGTGCTTCATTTATAGTGCCACCTCACTTGAATGCTACAGCTCAGATACCGCAACACCCACCCCACGCCATTTTATACTCCACCTGGGTTGTTGGAGTTGTTATGTTCAGGCTTAATCTTCTCACGAACATGTAGGGTTAACCAGTGTTAAGAATATTACTTTCAAATTGAAGCATTACAACCACTGTGCATGTGGTTTGGTTGACCAAAGTATTCTCCAGCTTATATAATAATGTATGTATTATCTCTTTATCGACAATATAAGCATTATATCTCGATATTTATGTATATATTGTCCGACCAGAGCATCAACACACAAGACAAAAACATCCTGACCGTTGGTACATATCTTGACCCAGTTGATCAACGCATGTAGCTTAAAGAGTCGCTCACGACACAAATACAAAATACAAGATGTTTTTTTTTTCCGAAAAAGTATCATAAAACTACAATTTGTTATTACGTTTTGATTTTTGTTTTTGTTTTTGTTTTCAGATAATCGTTTTTAATCTTACATGTACATGTTTAAATTTTTGAATATAAATCTATTTCATAATAAGGTTTACTTTCAGCTTTAAATTTCTGTTAAATTCATTTGGTATTAAACTGAGCCCTGTTACTTTCAAATGTACTTGAACTTTTTTTTCTTAAAACTTAATTACAAAATGTTCATTGTTTGTCTACTAATGAGAGAGACTATCTTAAGTGAAAAAGCTAACTTCCTCTTGGTGTGGGATAGGTGCACAACTGAGTAATATGTAAATGTTTTACATTGAATTTTGCAATAATGACGATCATGCTTTGCCTTATTTTATTTTACCGCGCTTATAAAAACGCGCGTTACTAATGTTAATTTAGCTGCAGTAGTATGAGTGACATGGTATTAAAGTTGACATATCTGTGTGTTTTAACCACTTTAAATGATTGATAGGTCAAACCATTGTTAGAGAAAAAGATTATCTTGTATCGACTTGTGACGGGTTGAAATGATCACTGCAAGATTTACGTAATACAGTTTGAGAATACATTTGAATGGATCAAGATATTTCTATGCACAAGAGCTTGACAGAATATCGAATACAATACATTCTGCAACTGCAATTTGGAAACGTTTTGAATAGATATTGCAAATACTCTTTCTTAATATATCTTTTACCAAAACTATGGTGCAATCTTACCTGTACTGTGTTATTACCTTAAATACAAGCAAATCCTATCTGTGTCTTATACAATGTTTATAACATTAATATTTGTGTCTTAATTAACATTAATTTGTGTCCTATAAAACATTTCATTGACATACTTATATATGCATTAAGACACTCTTAACCACCTCTTCGAAAAACTGGAAAAAACAAAGGTTAATGTTTAAGAGAATTCGAAACGGACTGGTGTTATTTTTAATATATTAAGTTTGTACAAATAATAGATATTTACCTGTTGTTCATTGTTATATACATGATATTTTACATTTTTTTAATAGATTTGATTTTCATATATGAACCATGTGATGGTACGTTTACTTATAAAACTATTTAATATTTGGAAAATAATCCAAATATTTCATCTGTTTTGTTAATGCGACGTTTGAAATACATTTTTCACTACCAATGTCAGTCGTTTAATTTTCTATTCGACATAGTTTTTACAAAGGATATTGACGTAGGTACGGTTAAGTTGGGTTTGATTTTCTTTAACGTCCTATTAACAGCTAATGTTATTAAGGACGTGTCACCATGTGTGTAGTGTATGCGTGCGTGCGCCCGCGCGTGCATTTGTGTGCAGGAGACATGGTATGTTGGTGTGCTTGCCTCCTTGTGATAGCGCGAATCTGATGCCGACTTTATAGTGCTATCTCACTGAAATGCCATGCCGAAGGAACCAAGCACAGCATTCCGCCCGGTCACATTATACTGACAACGGGTGAACCAGTTGCTGGCATTAATTCCCCTTAATGCTGAACATTAAGCATGGAATAGCAACTACCATTTTAAGGACTTTGGTATTTCCCGGCCTTGGAACAGAACTAATTGCCTTCCTCACCTGGGCGAACGCTCAACTTTAAAACCAAAAGTGAGGTATCGCCAAGCAAGGCGTTGGGAAATAAACGGTAGTAGAAAGAAAGATAAAGATCCAAAATATTGCACGCATTTACGGACACATTAAACTAACTTAACCAAGCGTTTCATATCAGTTGAAGGAATCTTTTTTTATTTAAATCCATTACACTTGGTTTTTCATTGATCTGTATCGTAGTAAAGAGGTCACTTTCATCATTATTTATTATAATTGGTTACTAACCGTATCTATAACCAAAACGGGACACTTGCAGTCGTGGGAAAACGGCCTATTAAACCGCCATGCAATGCATTGAACTCTTACTATGAATGCAATTTCCATTTGATATGTATTTAACTGAATATAAGATTGGTTGGGTTCTGATGATATATGGTTATACAGACAGTTAAAAGGCAAGAATAATTACCAAAAACAAAACTGCTTTTAATTTATGTTCCATGCTTTTAAATCTCATAGTAGTTTGGTGAAGACATTTAACCAGAACCTCCGCTGATTCTAAAGCATCAAAACTAAGTATAGTGTTCTGTTGATATTGATAGTTTATCCTCAATATTAGCCAAAATACAAAAGTGTCCCTCTCAGTGTAGTTTCACGTGTCCAAGGGCTTACGTGACCCTGGTAAAATTTCGTGTTCTATTTATAGAACCACGTGCTAGAAATACCAACTTGTAAAAGAAAAAGAAAAGTGGGTGGTACCAATTTATGAGAAATGAACAAACATTTTTGGAATTGACACTCTGGTATAAATTACGTAGGTTATTATCTAAAACCTTTCCCGTTTTGGGGCCCAGTGACAGTAGCGTTATGGTATGACGTAAGGATACCTCTTTAACTAGGACGATTACAGTTGGTGAGACAGAGTTTTGTAGGTTTTATATGGAAATATGAACCTCACACACATACATGGAATCTACTACACGCATCAATATAAATTAATCTTTACAGAAGGCTTAAAAAGTGTTAAGAAGTTGTCTGATCAGAGTATGCAAAGTTTAGTTTTTTCTCAAATAATAACCAAAATGCAATGAAATCGAAAGTAATAATGACAAAATATACGTTTCAAATTTAATGAAAATACCTGTGTGGCTAATTAAAGTAGTACCTAAAGTGGCGTAGGAATTTTGGTTTTGACCAATCGCAACACTTTAAGGTGTTATTATACATCTGTATTACAATATATATATGACATGGCGTTATGGCTAAGTAAAATTGGTCAACTATTTGATAAATTTATTTTTCTCTCATACGGCGTTCATCTCTTGGCTATAAACAAAATATTTTTCAGAGTGAATAGAATATTTCTCAGGAATACATACAGTTGACACATTGATATAGTATTAACTATGGGAAAGACACGGTGGACATATAGTTAACGGAGACTTTAACGACTGGAAAAACATGCATGAAGCATCGAACTACTGCTATTTGAGTAAAACGGACAAATGGAAATGTGACGCTGTGCTTAATTTTGAATATAGGTTACAATGGAATTACTTGACCGTTCGCGTTTAAGAGACAGTCTGATAACGATACATGGAACATTGCTTATTTTATTTTTTTATTGAATACCAAATATCTTTCACCATTGTGGTAGAATAATTCGACAGTTTCATGCCAGCACGAGCATTCTACCACATAAGTAAAATATCTATGCTTTTCAAGAGGGAAGCGAGTTATATTCTGGTTATCATATTTTTAGAATTTGAAGATAAAGAAAATGACCCGGTAACTAACAGCGGAAGTGGTTTAAGACGGACAAAATCAGCCAATGACGTCGCCTTCCTATTAAGTGACAATGAAAGCAAATACTGACCATACACACATTAAAACTTTTAGAGTATAGCGACTGTGTTCTCTGGTTTTGTGATCGGTATTAAATCTGAGAAAGTATCATTGTTTTTCACCGGTGAAAAACATCATGTTCATATCCTCATTGTAGTAAAAGTTGACGCTTTTTTAAAATGAAATATATGATATTGCATCGGTAATTTAAACGTAATATTTTTTTGTGTGTTCATACTGGGTCGATCAACAGAGACCAGGTAGCTAAATTTATCGAAGCGTCCGTCAAGAGTTCGGAGATCCCGGATTCGGTAACCGGTCTGGTCGTGAATTTCCCCCTCCTGTTACATGTTCATGAAGTGTGCATACCCTTAATGCACGTACATCTACAAGTTCACGCAGTATACGTTAAACGTATCGTCGACAGGCGCTCTTTTAGAGTTACCTCCCTTTATTCACAAACCTTGTTTGTTGGAAGAAACATTGGCACTACATAATTATGTCTACCATACATGCCAAAATATTTGTAAAGTTTACGCCCAGCAATAATTAATGAACATTCACTCGCCATTGCAAAGCATACGATCTTTAAAACACTATTTAGATGCGGGCTTAATAACTCATGATGGTGTCTGAAAACAGGAAATATATATTGTATTGTAATACTACATCCAATAGAATGACGAATGTGCTAAACCATGTGTTTCTACAGTATGGCAGCGTCCTCCTCTTAGTTTGGCAATGCAAGTCGGTCAGGCTGCAACAATATCGGTTTGCATACTGAAATAGTGTATGTTATATAATAGGGAGACTTAGGAATGCTCGCCGCACAGGTGTTCCTTCCGACATTGCAGACAAGTATGTCGTTACATACCAATTATACACTTGTAGCGGGTTTTTTCTTCTTTTATTTGGAGTCCTCTGACAACATCTGGGTTTGTTTATAACACACTTGTTAGATTTTTCGCAAGTAATAATTACATGAACGACATTTGCAAGAGTATTTTACCAAAGGAGTAATCGTTCTGTTACATTTCAAAGTTATATGCTCTGTCCTGTAAGACTAGGCTGTATCCGATGATATATCATTATAACTAACCCTTTGTTTATATTCTTATATTCTGTCCAAGTTATTTTAAGAAAGGTGTTATATTGCTGTTTTCTTTCTATAAATATGAATGTCAGAAAATATTGTCCATCTTCCATCAACCAAATACGCAAAATTTATAAGAATGAAAAAATCTATCCTGAATTAAGATTTTGGAAAAGCGTTTGGTAAGAAAGGCTCAAGGGTTTTTCATTGTTAACAAGGGGTGATTGGTGGTATTTGGCTTTGTACTCACTGTTCTGTGTGGTAAAGTCTCATTGTTTTCTCCAATTGGCTTTCTTTGCTTTGTCCTGGATTGTATTGAGATACGAATACTAGTGGTTTATCGTGTTTTAAGTTTACGTATTATTTGTCTTGCGTATTTGCTAGCTCAGTATGTTCATGTTTGCATGCCTTGAATCTTATCGCTTATACTGTAGAGAGAACTCAACTCTTCGAATGGCGGACTAAGACTGACTTTATTACCAACACTATTGGAGAGTTTCACATCAAGGGCGATAACTCATAATGGCTTAACCAATACTGTTACATATACAACTTACAGCTATTCCATTTTTAATAAGTAGCTAGCTCAGAACTTCAATGTTTATATACTTTGATTGTATGCTAATTCAGTACTTTCTAGATGACGCTATGCTTAAAGTCAATTATGAAAGGAATCTCTATCCGGAAAATGTGTCAAGTTCCTGTTGCTATCGACAGTAAGCGTAAACATATTGTCGATTCCTTGGACCGTTGGACCGGAATCTCAGTTCGGTGTGGTCTCGCTAAGCCTGGTTAACCCGCAGGGCGACATGACATGGAAATGACGTCTTGTCAACATTGAATAATAACGTTACAATCACTGATATGCACTGGCATTCCTAGAGAACCTTCAACTGGCTTTTATTCCATTGCAGTGTTTTGTACATCCTCGATATCCAGTGGTTATACTCACTTTCGCTCTCTACACCCCTGGAACATGTCATAGCAAAATGTAATGCTCGATGTGTGCCACCTCTTCAAAGGACAGGTATCAGCCTAGCGATTGGTCAGTTTGTTTTACCTGAGACCAATCAAACAGCTATCTTCGTGCCTTCAATTTTGCCATGACATATTCCAGGAGTGCACGGTTTACAAGGTGCTATTCTCCAAGCCATAGGGTCCTCGTATCGCGTTCCATTCACCGCTTAAGCCGTTTATAACACTACTTTTAACTACGGTTGCAACATGGTCTTAATGTGGTGAACAGTTTTTAAAATGTTGAAGTAATTCTAGTGTATTTTATCAACATCATCGTGATCCACGTGTCTGCACTACAATTCCCTAACTCCGAGTGGATAACATTCCGAACACTTAGAAAATGGGCCGCCTCCCGCCGGCAGCCTAATGGACATGAGTAAATGTAAATGAAACAGTAAATGGTTTCATTTATATTCTGTTTGAAAATGGCTATTATTTACATACTGTTTGAATTTCCTGTCAACAACATGTAAACAACCCGTCACGATGTTATCGTACCATTATAACATTGCTTTGAACCATTCATAAAAAAACACAAATTAAATCGAGAGAGTGCAAGTTTATTTCCACGTCTATTATGAAGGAATCATAGACTCCAATATGAAACTAACTGGGTACGCAGACGAAACACGTGCAAGTTTCATATCTCACTCAACTGTGTATACATATATATCTAAGCAAAGAAATAATAACGACAGTGCAGACGAAGGAATTTGTCTAATTTCTAGACAATCCGCTTCTTCCTCAGACAGCAATAGATTATATTATGTATTTTAATTTGTAGTAATTCGTAGAAATGTTTCTTGGTAACTGTTTGTCTCTTTGATACAGTTGTTTGTTCTATGTAATTGCTCATGATTCTGTCTCCAGGAAGGGGCGGATCGCCTCGAAAATATAAACAATATTCTCTGTGTGCACTGTCGTTATTACTTCTTTGCTAATACAGTGAATATATAATATATTTGATGCGTTAGATATTAGATATTAATGTGTATACAACTTTGAAGTAATTGTTTGATGTAACCATTGTATACTTCTCTGCTCTGAAAATTGCAGTTTATGAGCATAGAAATGTCATTGTTATTGTCTTGTGTGGTATTTTATGACGTCATATTGAAATGAAATATTATCATACAAAGAGCCAGCCTTACCCAACGGCAAATGTGTCCGGGGAACAACAATGGTTTGGCTATTTTATTAGTATTTAAGGTACCTTTTACATGGGAAATGGAGTTATGGTTTTATTACGTTAAGAATAAAACACTAGAATCTATAGTAATGTATCATGATCTGCTGACCGATTCTGCTGGTATTTTAAAACAATCATCTCTTTTAACGATTTTGGACGATCGATCCATGTGTAGAGTATGTGATCTCTGTCGGCATTAGACCGGCCTCCAGCACGTGAGTTTTATCTTCCTACTCCTTCGAACAAATCAGAACAGATTGAAGGTCAGAAGAGTAAAGTACCGAAATAGATAGCACAATGTGATCAAATAACCTCGATTTATTTTCTTTTGAAGTTTCGAGACAATTGGTCACGGAACTTGACCCCCTACATAAACCCAAACATATCACAGAATCTTGGCATTGCCACGCAGTTATCGGTAATGTTAATCTCTCGGGGAGACTGGCCAATCGTCCTCGTTACATTTTAGAGTGGTCCAGAAATCGGTTCGACAAGTACAGTTCCACACTGGTCTGTATTCGTCTGTGTCAAGCCTGTATCCTATCTCTACATGAACAAAGCGTCCCCATGACCATGATCAGTTTCAACCTTTGTAATGAAACTAAAAGGACTCTTCCAAACAAATCCCCGATCAGATTTGTGTCCGTCTGTGTTTGTTTCTGTAGAGAACCCGGAAGATCCCCGTCTCTAGCATTCCCCTGACTTATGATTTAACCTGCACTTCTGATCGAATGTGAAAATAGTCGGAGCGTAACAAGACCCCGACCAGTGCAGACGTTCCGTCCGTGGCCATGACCTCAAGGGATTAAATATATCACCCTCCTAAAAAGCACACCAAATTTCCAATACGATTTTAAGAATCCTGTCATATTTTAAAAGCGTATCGATCGGTTTTTGAATAAAAGGATTTACATTTTTGAAGATACCTGACAATTCAAATCTTTCAAATTAAATTTAGAATGATATAAATATTTTGATAAATGTCAAGATAAACGTACCCATTGTAGTTTATTTGTAACTACAGGGTTTTTGGTTAGGAACGTTGTGAGATTACAGCTTCTGTTTCATATCAATGCTGGGGCTAATTCTTCCTCTAGTTTATTTGCTTTGCTGTGATTGTGATTTAGTTTCTTTGTTATCATTGGGGCTATGGAGAGGGAAAAAATTGAAGGAGCATAATTTTGAATGGGAATTTGCCGGCTTCATAAAGGGAAATGGAAAGTAAGCAAGACAAATCAATTGATCATTTTTGAAGGAGAAAAGAGAAACTTAAAAATACACAACGAAATACAAGAGAAGATACATGTATGTAGGACAGTGAATAGGAAAAGTCCGTGAAAGTTCAATCCAATTGGTAGAGACATAATGAGAAAACGACTTCCAGCTACGCCACAGAAACCAGGAAATGTATTAATAGTATACCACAGAAAACAGAAAGTGTCTTATCAGCCCAGAGAAGAAACATGGAGGACCAAAACCGTATTTCGTCATGTTCCTTTACATTGCAGATATATAAAGATCTAGAGCAAGCACACAGGATGATTTATACAACTGTGCAAGAAGCTCACTTGGAAAGAGGGTCGGTCGCCCCATTTCATTAGATTTCAACTGCACTCTCTAAAACAGAACATTGATGAGCCCATTAGATGAGTATGTGGAGAGGGCGGGGTGCTGGAGGCTGCGAGGAGGAGTTTCGGGAGGAGGGGGTAACATAATTCCGCTGCCGATGAGGTTATCCAATCGGTGAGAGTGTTTACATTCCTTAATGGCTGCTTAGAGAAGAGAGTTGAATTGAATGCCATGAAAACAAAAATCCAAACAATCTGGATCAGGCAATCCAATATGTCTTCGTCTCTGTAGTAAGATCTTTTGCAGGACATGTTTCTTTTGAGAGAAAAGAAACAAGAGGATGACATGTACATGTTACCTCCATCAATTGGTTCCTGAAAATCGCAATATATCTTATCTATACAGGTCACGTAATACTAGGGGAGCGTACGGGAGGTTGAAGAGGCCATCACGCAGATTTCACAGAGGATGTCAAAGTATAGGAAGAATTCTAGGTCAAGGACATCCGAAAGGTCATCTCCTTCAATACGAGATTGCTAAGATCATGTTTCAATTGCGGGGAGAAAAGACACTTTGCGACAGAATGCACAACAAATCAATCTCCCTCACCACAGCCTACACAATCTTACTGTTCTGTCAAACTTTCGCGAGACGAGTTTTTTTTAGCAATTCTTGCTTCATCCCTTATTTCAACTAAGAAGTATTAACACCGATGATAGTTGTATAAGCTTCATGTAGTAGCATTTGATTGTTGTATTAAAAGCCAAATTTTCACAAATTGACATTCAACGTTGTCCATTTCTTTGATTTGTTTTTTGTTATTGATCAAAATTAAGCATAACCAATGGTCATATCGCAGCATTTGGTATACATACCTGGTGAATCTTGCTATTGTGATTCAGCCAGTTTTCAGACCATGCAATACAGGGTCCCATATATTTCACACTGTAAAAGATTACTCAGTAGTCAGAGAGTTTACTGACTTAAGCGAGATAAACATGATAACAACAGCTACCCGTATGTGTATAGATGAGATTAAAAACAACAGATACATTGCTTTTTCATTTTTATGTTACAAATTTTAATCAACTACATTTCAACAAAACCTATTTGTCATTATTTTCAATGTCTATACAGATATGCAACCTTTGTCTCGCTGTCATTATAACAATATACAATATATAGTTTTCTTACAAAGAAAAGTGTTTAACACATATTTTTTCTTGTCTTTGTTACATTTTAATGTTTTCCTGGTTTCTTAGTTGAATAGTTGCAAAAGCCTTACTATGAAAATCAACCGCTCACACCTAAAGAGAATGGACCTATTTGGTCGTCTGCTACAGGAAAAATGTACCATGTACATGCAACTATGTCTTCACACTTTTAGAAATAAAAACTTACATCAAACTTCATTTTGATTATATTACCCTAGCAATTGATACGCTCCCTTCACATACAAAATCATAGATACAGTCCCATTTACGACACTATAGATGTAGTTAATAGGATATGTCGTAATATACGGCACTAAATAAAAATGTCGTTAAAGAAAATATGTGTCATGATATAATCGATAACCTCAAGTGGCTGTTTTACTTAACTGTTAAAACCGATTTTATTCATACTTTGCAATCTTATGGAAGTTTTCAATACGTTTCTGATCATCAAGAAATGGTCTTATTAAATATATTAAAATGTGTTCATTTAGTTTTCTCTAAGGAAATACGTTTTTTGAAAGCCACAATTCTTTCTTTGCGATGAAAGGAATAATTCTATCAATATTTTTTTGGAAAAAAATGAAATCATTTACGACACATTTATTTATCTTTTGACTCTTTTATAAACTGAGAACACTGATATAACAAAGCTGTTCGGTTGTTGCCGTTTACTTGGTTATTACTTTATTTTTTCCCTGTATAAAAAAAATCTATTCAAATTTTTTTCTTCATTTTACTTTTCAATATAATCCATTTTTTTTTTATATCACTCGTTAAAAAAAACACCTGAAATTTTGTGAAAAAAATCCCCATTAAATAAGGTCAAATTCAAGGTAATAATAGACAGTTGACAGGATCAGCGTACTTGGAATTCTTTTTTAAAAAACCACACATACATGTACGTATTGTAAATGTCAAACGCATTTGTGAATCAGAACCCCTGCGGAACTGACCTGTACGCCACGAGTAAGAGTTTATCATGACGGTAATATAATTATCCTACATGTACTGTCTCTTTCAATCATCTCGTGGACTCACATTTAAGTGATTACTCAGCATAATTTAACAGAGTGTCCATCACTTCACTTACTCTTCAAGTCATTTTTTCTCCATGAAATCGCTAGACACATATTTAGACCCAATATTTAATAACCAGTTTACGTTTTATTAGTTATTGTTTTCCTTTTGTGCTTTATTTAATGTCTTAGCTGAAAGCCGAAGTTTGAAGTTTGGGATTTTATCAGAGGTATTTGTGCTTTTCCTGACATGATTTATAATGAAATGAGTAGTAATTACATATGAAACGTTGTTGTATTTTTATAAACGAGTCTATGTGACGACATATCTACACAGACATGATGAAGACTTCCACAATCTTACATGTAACTGTCTTCCCAATGCTAATAAAATACAAATATGATACACCTTTTTGCCAGTGTTTTTTTTTTTTTTTAAGACTAACTCAATTCTATTTTTAATTCCCAGATACATCTACCTTACCCATGTATACATATATACACATATGTACAGTAGTTTCCAGTACCTGACGATTGCTGTACACAAAGTATCAACCTACTAAATTATATTGCTTTTAACTTGTATTCAATCTCAAGTATCGTCGAAAATGTCTACTACCAGCGTGTGTCCATTCGTCCGTTATACCGCCTTTATCCTAGTCTGTCCATCTGTTTGCTTTCTATTGTTATAGACCCTTTAGATGGTGAACGGAAAGCTGTCTCTGACGCAGTGAAGCCATTGTCTTTGTCGTCACTTCCGTTGCTCGATTTCAAAATAGAAGTTCTCGTCATATCGAGAATTGCCACCGACTTCCGTTTTCCTTTGCAACAAGTGGATAACGCCTTTCTGAAACTCTCCCTAAAGTTCCTAGACATAAAACCGTAAACAATCGGGTTCACACAACTGTTTGCATATGACATAAGGTGGAAGGCGAGGCGCATGGGCTTTAGGTAGTCCGTGTGGAACTCGTCGAGAACCCCGAACGCCACGAGGACGTTGTTAATGAGGATCGGACCCCAGCACACCGCGAATAGTAACACCACAATGATGAGCATGATGATGACCTGAGAACAAAAACAAAATGACGTCAGTGAACTCCGGAAAAGTTACAGGGAACATGAACATATATAGTTATACTAATGAAAACCGTAGTTTCAAGTTGTTGACTCTAATGGCTATGCTTATTGTATAAAGCGCTTACAGTTACACGGCGTCAGTATCGGGCTCCCATTATGTGCTGTTATAGGGAATGTGCCTCAGTGTTTAAAGTGGTCGCTAAAATATAACGGTATATAAGCAAAGTGATATATTTGTCTCAAGAATAATAATGTTCTTCAATGTTGAAAGATCAAATAACATTAATATATTTATCACATAACTGACCCTTTAAGCCTGTCATAAATATAGTATTACACACGTGTAATAAAACATAAATGTGTTGCGATTGGCCAACACCGTGGGAACATATTCCTACGCCACTACTGGTACTACTTTTATTTACTCTACCACATGATATATTAACTGTATTATAAAATGAATTTGAAATGTTTATTTCGTCACGATCATTATTATTTTCATTGCATTTCTAACCTTTCATTACTAAAAATAACATCTGGAACTACTTTGCACTGCGCAGGACGACAACTCTATAACCGGACTACTTTGGTTTGACCTACATATAGAGTAAGCTGATAACACAGAATTGTGGTTGAAATTTTGTTTTCAAATTATGAATGTTATGTGATAACTGGAATCCTACATACATGTCCATGTCGTATTGAATTTATCAAACTCTTTAAATAAATTTCGTATGACATGGACATTCATGTAGGATCCTCTATTCCGTCTTTGCTTATTGGGAGCTCTTGGGAGCAGGTATTGATTGTTACGTCACTTGTTTGTGAGAGTAACGTCATCAATTTTTGAGAAAACGACGTAATTTTCTCACACAGACCAATGACGTAACAATCAATACCTTCTCCCAAGAGAAGATAACTCTGCAATACGCAAAGACGGAATAGCTACACTGTCAAATCGTCGATATAGATGTACCTGTAGATGTGCAATATGCAAGCAGACATCGCTATAACTAATTTATTAACCTTCGTCACCTGTTTACGTGTCCGCGTGTCGTCCGTACTTTTGGCAGGAACACGTCTTGTTGTGTCCCCGGAGCGTCGTGACGAGTCCCCGGATGTTGGGTATACATTAGATGAGGATCTCTGTGACGTCATCGTGTATGACGTACATGTGGAAGACCGGGCTTCTTTATACTGGCACTCACTACAACAACAAAGAATAAATCCACAGGTTTACAACGACTGGCTACTTTAAACACTTTTGAATGATCTGAAGATGGCAGCCGGATTTTGACAATTGGATTTTGGGGAATTTAGGTGAATATGTATTTTTGGGTTGTTTTTTCTCACTTTTGTGTGTGTGGTGGTTTGGTGGTAGATTGGGATAAATACATTCTATTGAATAGACATCCTATTAAAACTACAGTTCTGTAATATCATATTTTGTATAACTGTCTTTTTAACCTTTACAAAGAAACGATCATTCCAGAATGGAATTAGCATTTCATTGTGTAAATGCTCCCGATATCCGATCGACTTCATTTGTCACACCCTCAATTCACATTAATAGCCATGCCTTGGACACAACTCAGCTGTCACATTTGAACACTTTATAAACGATTTTTGACCGGTTATGGTCAAATTACAAATCTAAGAATCTTGCCCCTCAACCTAAAGGCGAAAGCTTTAAATCCACGGCGAGTGAGCGAAAACGGGAAAAGACGACGGCGAAGGGAGCGAATCTCGCCGTGGCCTTTTTTTCACGTTTTCGCCTTTAGGTCGAGCGGGCGAAATCACGAGATTTTGTAATATGGCCCTAAGCCGCCACCATACATCACAACAATGTACATCAGTAATACTTCTCATCACGACGATGTCAAGCGATCACACTTATTTTACCATTTCATTCAGCTCCAAATTAAACGTTTAACAACGCGTATAGTGTGAAGTGATTGATCATTGATTCATTGAAGTGAATTTTCGTTAGTTTTTTTTTTTCGTGTCTCAATTAAAAGATATGTTCAGCAATTGCAAATCAACCAGAAAACACTTGGATACTATCATAATATATATTGCTTCTGGTATGATTTTTTTTAAACCATCCCAAAATTAAACTACAAGGTACTATAGAATGAATGTTTCAATAGCAACTTTTTGTATTTCTATTACAATTATTGTTTAGCCGGAAATACGTGGTACATGAACGTGTAACAAAACGCGCACTAAATGTGAAGTTAGCGTCGTCTTGGTGACATTTGAAAGAGAGGCGAAGTAGCGGTAACAATGATATTGGAAATTGAAAGGAAAGCTACATGTAGAACGCTGGTAATAGGAAAGGAATCATATATATGTGAATTCAGCATCTTTAAAGTGCTACATGAACGTGATAGTCGTGACATCGGATGCCCACGAGACTTTGGTAACGAAGTCATTCAGAAATCAGACGAAGACAATGTCTTGATGACATTTGGACGTCAGACTAGAGGCGAGGTAATGGTTATATTTGAAAACCAGACGAGAGCGTGGTAATAATGGCTTCCGGAAGTCAGTCGAGAGCGCAGACATGAGTATAAGGTTAGCTGAAGCTAAATTGTATTAAAATCGTAAATGTTACACGACTATATGCATTTGACGGTATATATGAGTCGGCTTGAAAAAAAAAAGATCGAAATAATTTATAATGAAAGACAGATTTACAAGGTAGACCGATAGAATGAATACAAATATTGTATCAAAATACTTATTAAAAAAAATCAGGTTTTGCAAAAAATCTTGGTATTTCCCTCTGATATTAGTATAGCATGACGTACACAATACTTTCTTGTTTGGATTGTTTCTTGCAGGCGGACTGTGTCATTTGTGAGCACCGTTCAGGAAAAAAGAACAACACACATCTTCCCAAAGAAAATGTACACGACGATCTACGTTGGAAGGGTCAACAGAAATAACACATTTGTATATATGTATGCAGTGACCTACAGAATAGTAACTCATTTGTATAAATCATCTGCAAGTACTTTGCAGTTATTGTTATGAGGAGGTTTTGCCTTTACGATCAAAGGATTGAATTGTCGGGTATTAAAGACTACCCAGTTTATACGCTCAGGCAAAACTGTCTTGGGTATCACTGAGATCATCCTCGATATCCAGGGGTTACGCTTACATTGTACTTTCGCTCTCTACACCCCTGGAATATGTCATGGCAAAATTGAAGGCACGAAGATAGCTGTTTGATTGGTCTCGGGTAAAAAAAAATAAAAAATCGCTAGGCTGATACCCGTCCTGATTACAAAGGAGAGACACCCGACTTCAAAGCCTGTCAATTTTTACCGTTACGTGACCGCGAGATTCTTTTGATCTGTATCAAAGGATCGAACTAGTCTTCTTGTCTCATCAACAAGGTGGCGCACATCGAGCCTTCAATTTTGCCATGAAATATTCCAGGAGTGTAGAGAGCGAACGTGAGCGTAACCCCTGGATATCGAGGATGCACTGAGATCGACGGTTGACACTCAACCACTTATCTAACTAGGCATCAAGTCAGATAGCTGTTGTGTGAAAACTTGCCCAGCCTAGTCGTATTTGATCATGCTCAAAATTAAACCATCTATTGAGGAACGATGTGTATGCCAATGATTTAAACATAAATATATCTTGGGAATTATTCTGTAAAGACTCGCGCTTGACCTTCAAGTCTATTATAGCAGCGGTAGTGAAGTATTTACTGATAGAACATTACATAATTATCCTCAGCACTAGATAGACCTGTTATGTTTGACGTTAAAACACACTTGATATTAGTTTTTACCCCCGTAATTAGTGTTTACTCTCCGGGATTAGTATTTATCTTACGGATGTGCCTCAGCCACAAAACTTATCGTAGTCCATACTACAATATAATGTAAACCGTCTTCAATTATAAATGACCTGACGCTGACAAAGCAACGTCAAAGTGATAACAACAGGAGGTCATTAAAATTTTAAAACGTATAAACATCATTTACAAATGAACACATTGATTATCTATAGGGTCTTGATTCTTTGTATATTAAAAAAAGGAAGATATTCGTTGTAAGTAGTTGTCAAGAACCGAACTTGTTTCTCGATAGTGCTATATCGGGATTCGGGTCGCATCAGAAGATGTGACGTCACTACAGAGAAAACTTTTCCAGTCTGCGTTTGTGAGAGTTGTAAAAATGACCTTATACACTTATGAAGGAGACTCCGCTCGCATTTTAATGTACAATGTAGACAAATCAAGATTAATGGAAGACAACTCGCCTTTCGTTCTTGGATGTTCGTGTTCTGATTTGCTGTACAGACGTATTCATTGTTCCATGTTCCGTGTATTTTGATTGGCTATATACATATATATATTTATTGTTTAATGTTACATGTGTTCTGATTGGTTACACAACTATGTATGAGTTTGTGAATATGATGACATACCTGCCGGAGCGCATGACCGCCCGCTTGGACACGACATACCAAATCTCCACACATATCCACGTGTAGGTAAAGGCCATTACGCCGACTGGGATGATGAAAATGATGACGAGCATGTAAAGCTCGTATGCCTGATGATGTAAGGGCTGCGCGAAGTCTATTCGGCACCAGTACGCTTTCCGGGTCGAACCAACCATCGTATGCTTCTGTAAGGAAAGATGAGAGTATGATTAATGTCATTGTCGGATATACTCGCGGTTGATTTCGCTTCGGTACTCACTCAGCGAAATCAACCGTGGTAATCCGACGATGGATTAATGTGACAATACACCTAACCATCTCCCGAGTTTAAATTGATTTGTCCACATCATTATTTTTTTGTCTGTTTATTTGATAAATTGTATACACTAAAGAAATTGTAAGAAAGGTTTGGCGAGGAAATTTTAATTCACGTTTGAATTGACCGTATCGTCAAGTTTGTCATTAATTTCAGCAATGTTACTGTTCTGACCTTGCCTCCTAAAACCGATAAAGGCGAAAACCTTCAATGTCTGGCTCCATATAACTCTGCTTACCAACACAGAAAATATCAAACAAATATCTGAAACTAGAACTTTTATATTATTGATCTTATTCTTATACGGTTTCGTCTGCGTACCTATTCAAGTGTATATCGCATGCTTAAGTGTTTTTTATTCTTCCTTTTAAATGTGTGGTTATTAGTGTATAATTTCCGGAAACTTTCCGACATGATACCGATGAAAGTTGTGTTACTTACAGTTTTAAAATCCAATTGTCGTATAGCAGATAAACGCTATACCGAACTGTCTGGAAACTATCTAAAAGCAATCTAAAATTTGCGGTCAAATTTCAAAGCCGACAGGCACTTGTGTTTTTCTGCAGACAAACAATGTGATTTCAACATAAACCATGTAATGTGACGCTTACGACACTTTCTGTGAGGAATAATGAAGAAATACAAGATGTCTCAGCGCAATTCCACAAGGATATACAACGATAATACAATGTCTGTGTAAGGATGAACTTACATGGACCTAAGTCAAAAGTCTATATATCCTATTTATATTCCCATAGGAAAATGAAAAGTAGCCGTCCTAACGCAAAATTAAACAAAGACCAGTACGCGTGACTGGTTTGAGTCAAGGGTATGTGTAACTCCAGGGAGTGGGTAATTGCCGTAGGCATTGTGTGTGAAAGGTGTACAGGCTAGCACGATTGAGTGTTAATGATGATTGACTCGAGTGAGTCATTTGTGTGGTAGTTATAATTGACTCGTATAAGTGAGACATGTGTTTGTGATTTATGATTGAGTGAGACGTGCGTAAGCGATGATTGACTCCAGTGAGTCAGCCGTTTGTTAGTGACTTTAACTTTATATTGACTCGAGTGAGTCAGAATTATGTAAGCAATGATTGACTTGAGTGAGTCAGACATGTGTAAGTGAACATTGACTCGAGCGAGTCAGACGGATGTTAGTATACAGTTAAAGTATGGTGTTGAGGGATATAGCAAGTTTCTGGTGTCCCGTGTAATAATGAAGATTGACTTAAGTGAGTCAGTTGTGTGTAAGCGCATATTGACTCAAGTTAGTCAGGTGTGTGTTCATGAGGATTGACACGATTCAGTAAGACGTGTATGTACTAGCAATGATTAACTCGGGTGAGTCAGACGTGTTTATGAGGATTGACTCAAGTGAGACAGATACATGTATGTGTTTGTGATAATTGATTGAGTGACTCAGACATGTGTTAGTTAGGATTGACTCCAGTGTGTCAGATGCGTTCTGGTGTGAAATAAAGACGAGTGTTGAATGACACATTCGAATGAGATGTATGTTAGATTAACTCATGTGAGTAAAGGTCGTGTTAGTAAGGATTGACTCAAGTGATTTACCTGTTTGTTAAAGGGAAATTACTCCTGTAAGAGGTATATGTTTGCGGGAAAGTTGACTTGTGTAAGTTATATTCGTCTTTGTATGAAATTCTTGTTGTGATTGAGATGTGTATTGATAAAGAGTTACTGATGTAAGTAAGGTTTGTGTAATTAACAAATGATCTGAGTGTTTGAAGATTGAAATGTGTAAGTGAGATGTGTATAAAGTATGTAGAAAATGACACATGCAGAAGTGAAGTACCTACCTGGCCGAACACGACAGGGACAGCCATGACAAGGGCCTGTAGCCAGATACAGAGAATGACGAGTCGGGCATGGCGCATGGTACATATGTAGCGAGCTCTCAGGGGGAACAGTATTGCCATAAATCTGGAGAAAAAAAACCCATGACAATTAAAAGACAGGACCAGAAGCATATCAGATCTCAAACATTTACGCATTTCAATAATGTTCTTTCTAATACAATGAAATACGACAGTAAATACTATTTAGAGTTGAGGTATCTGTGAAGTTCCATATTATCCGGTTAAGGACTTCAGTAGGTTGTTGATGCTATGGTTTGATTCATGTCTTTTGGAGTTCAAAATGCAGTTTAAGCTAAGAAATCAAATTCTTTTGGCCTTCGTTTAAAACCTTGTACCAAATTCCTGCGTCTTTAAAAAGCCCTCCTTATTGACAGAATGAGTAATACAGTTGTTAATGATATGAAACAGCTTTAATAAAAGTCAAGGTTGTACTTGTTTTCTCTGCCTTGTGCATCACATTCCTCTTCCTCTGTTAGTCAGATTGTCATTACCGTATCAATAAAAACCTAAACCTTTCATTTCGAGCATTGACGCATTTCCAGCCCTCTGTACATTGCTGCTGACAGTTTTTATACTTGTTTTCAATTTAAGTTATCTATTTTGTCAATAATCCCATTGTCATATCATATGTCACATCAGGTCCTTGTTATTGACACACCGGCAACGAGACGCCGGCTACAAGATAAGAGTTGACGAACGAAATTAACTCAATCACCCCTAAAATTTCATGATGAACTTTTCCAACCTTTGAATTGGAAGAGTTCAAATGTGTCTTCAGTGGTGAACAAAGAAGGTAAAAATCTTTATTTCTAAATTAAACGTATTCTGACAAGATAAATCACCTTCACTGGAAATCGATCGATTTTCCAGCACGTACTCTGATACAATAGCATAATGTGCTGAATGTTCTCAAATGCGACTTTAAATTTACAAATGTACCTATTTACGAACTGCATTGAACGCATTTCAAAGATACTTTGAAAATTAACGGGACTTGCTTAAAACATTCGAAAGAAAATTGTCATTTGTGAAATGAGGCAAAGTAGAAGGAATCATATTATTGCTGAATAATGAGGTATTAAGAGAACACACAATTTTTCATCTTGTCTTAGAACTTTGGTCAATCTAAATCGGTGATTTCTTTTTTCGAACGCTAAAACTAAACGAAACAAACTGTATGTCAAAATTAAAATGTTTCATTACCAACTGCTAAACAATCCGAATTATTCGATGCATATTTTCTCTCTCCTATTCTACAGTACCCGTGCTAATTTGACCAGTTTTAACAATGTTAAGAGTAAGGAGAAAATTGTTTCGCTGTGTTTTGACACGGCGGTATATATTTTGTTTTGGCGTTTTGACATTTTATAAACGAATGTCACAAAACCGACTTTTTTTTTATAGTGACCACAAAACAGTCGTGAAAGTTGGCGATTTCATGTACAGAGTTGATATGAAGAACAATTGGAAACTCGCGTATAGACTCTCCGATGTTGTCTTTATGAGTAATGGCTGTGAGAATGATCAATGTTGATCCTACGTTACACTCTAACGAAACTGGGGTCGAGCTCTCCAAATCCTTATTGATATGCCCCTGAACGAATCCACAAATACAGCAAGAGGTACAACGCAACATATTAGCCCCAGCAGCCAATAACATTGGAAATGCACTAATCCGTACTATCACTCACCGGAGGGCAACAGCGAAAGTAGGTCATGCGAGGTGCGTTCGATAACCCCGCTTACTCTGTAACACACTACATGTAGGATAGATGTACAGTGTTACTTATAAAGCAGGCCTAATGTATCAGAGAATGCACGGTTTCCCACATCTAAAGCGACAACGTTGTAATATCATGTTAGACTGCCCTTGCATTGCTTACATTTCAAAAGTCGTCATTCATATGTAATCGAACTCGCCCTATATCTGCCACACAGACTGCAGGGCCTTGAATGGCGCGGACAGGAGCGTATTAAGTAGTATTAACCACATGTGTTTGTATCTGACACGCCTAAACAGATACAGACAGCTCGAGTCCGAAGGGAGTCTTTGTAAAATATTAATGCTGTCAGAGAAAATCGGTTCGTTTTTAAGTGAGAACTATTGTACATTCGTCAGGTCTGATCGAACTTGATTTCCTTTGTGTTACCCTCTGTCAATACTAATTTGGAGACTCGTTACCAAACAAGAAATATATATTTTTCTTTTTTTAAAGAAAAATACGACAAAGATTTTTTTGGTAGTAATAATTCTAAAAATGCCTGTGTGTCTTTGTAACCGAAATGGATCATCGTTAGAATATACGTTATTGTCCATCAACGAAACAAGTTTAATTTGGTGTGAGGGTCGATAAATGTGGTCTTAAAATTGGCAAAAGTGAGAAACATCAAGCAAATGAAAAGGTAAAAGACCAAAGAAAATATAACTGGCAGCAAATAAAATCACGCGAAGGAATTCTGAAACGATCTTAAAAGGCTCGATCGGCGCCAAAATGATAATGTTGGTGGTCATAAATTTAGAAATAATTATGTACACGTTTCAGCTGAGGTCGTATTATTGCTTACCCATTTCCTTAATTAATGACCAATCAAAACAAATATTTGTTACAAGTGCTGCTGACCAGATACCTATTTTCGGTACGCTGTTGGACTGACCCACATACCCGTTAAGTGGACGTAAGTGATAGCGTGCGCAATAGCTAGGGGGTCTGTAGCATGAATAGAAGACTTCCCAGTTTTTCTTAATCAATCATTAACATGGAAGAGCATGAAGGCCATGTAGAAAAAATATTTTTTCGTTTTTTCGTGTTGGTACCTCGTAAAGTATTCCGTATACAAAACAACGCATGTTGTATATACTGGTGCTTTGACCAAGCCAAACTGACCTAGCACGTCAAGTGACTCAAGGGTATCCAAAAACGATCCGAAAATGCCGAAAAATGAAATTCCTACTCTGGCTCATTAACAATACTGTAAGTATGAGCAAATGTCTTGACTTATAACATATTATAGTGTTTATTTTCAAAATTTGAACAAAATGTAGGTAATATTTCGCACAAAGTAATACCGTTCCGTATTCCGTTCTTTGATTCCTCCTGACACTGTGATCGGCGATGATTCTACCTAATAATACAAATGTACCGATCTAGACTTTACAAGCCCATGTTTACTTTTTTCATTACTTTTATTAAACAAAACGTTTTGAAACCGTCACAAGTTAAATAATATAAAGAATTGGTAGAGTGAAATTATTCAAATAATTAGAAACAAAATGTATTCAAATATATTTGCCTGTAATCAATAAGGTACGACTTGTCTCGACCTTCGTCGCTCCCACACCACACAAGGTACGACTTGTCTCCGCCTCTCACACCACACAAGGTACGACTTGTCTCCGCCTCTCACACCACACAAGGTACGACTTGTCTCGACCTCCCACTCCACACAAGGTACGACTTGTCTCCGCCTCTCACACCACACAAGGTACGACTTGTCTCCGCCTCTCACACCACACAAGGTACGACTTGTCTCGGCCTCTCACAACACACAAGGTACGACTTGTCTCGGCCTCCCACAGCACACAAGGTACGACTTGTCTCGGCCTTCGGCGTTCCCACACCACACAAGGTACGACTTGTCCCGGTCTCCCACACCACACAAGGTACGACTTGCCTCGGTCTCCCACTCCACACAAGGTACGACTTGTCTCCGCCTCTCACACCACACAAGGTACGACTTGTCTCCGCCTCTCACACCACACAAGGTACGACTTGTCTCCGCCTCTCACACCACACAAGGTACGACTTGTCTCGACCTCCCACTCCACACAAGGTACGACTTGTCTCGGCTTCCCACACCACACAAGGTACGACTTGTCTCGCCCTCCCACTCCACACAAGGTACCACTTGTCTCGGCCTTCGTCGCTCCCACCCCACACAAGGTACGACTTGTCTCGGCCTTCGTCGTTCCCACACCACACAAGGTACGACTTGTCCCGGTCTCCCACACCACACAAGGTACGACTTGCCTCGGTCTCCCACTCCACACAAGGTACGACTTGTCTCCGCCTCTCACACCACACAAGGTACGACTTGTCTCCGCCTCTCACACCACACAAGGTACGACTTGTCTCGGGCTCCCACACCACACAAGGTACGACTTTTCTCGGCCTTCGTCGCTCCCACACCACACAAGGTATGACTTGTCTCGGCCTTCGGCTTCCCACACCACACAAGGTACGACTTGTCTCGCCCTCCCACTCCACACAAGGTACCACTTGTCTCGGCCTTCGTCGCTCCCACCCCACACAAGGTACGACTTGTCTCGGCCTTCCACACCACACAAGGTACGACTTGTCTCGCCCTCCCACTCCACACAAGGTACCACTTGTCTCGGCCTTCGTCGCTCCCACAACACACAAGGTACGACTTGTCTCGGCCTCCCACTCCACACAAGGTACGACTTGTCTCGGCCTTCGTCGCTACGACACCTTGGCCCTTTGACTCTGTTGTACTAATGACCCTCTCTTAAGGTAGCCGGACATATGTACGATAGATAATGACAAGACAACCGACATACATTTTATTGTACGTGGATGCTGGCGCCTCTAAACACGGCAGCGTAAGGCATGCACACAGAAATGTTAACTTTACTCCACTTAACTCAGTTTTTAGTTTCCAAACATTGACCGATAAATTGTTGTCCGTTCGTGTCCACGAAAATATCTTCATTTTTATTTGAATCTTTGCTAGATAACATTTTTAATAAACGTTTTAATTTCCATACCATCCAAATGACAAGTTACGGATCGCCGCCATCTTTGTTTAGTCCGAATAACACTCTGCCAAGCTGTCTATAGTCGGTTGTTACTGTATCAGGATAGTAATAATTAAGTAAATGAGACAATTCACTTTTCTTGTTCTGAAAGTAGCGCGGATTAATATAATTTGTTTTCTGTTGGCTGTCGGTCTAGTGCAGAGTAAATCCCGCCCAGTGTGACGACATGGAGCCCTTGATGCACCTGATGACGTTTTATACAACACCGTGCGTGCCAGGTTGATTATGTGTCGTATCCGTTTAGAAAGTGTGTTGATTTATCCCTCTATGTACAAAATCAATGTAAAAATAACAGAACCCCAAAGGATTCAGTAAAAGAAGGATAAGCTAACGACCTCGAGTTGGGAGTCTTCCAAACTACTGCCTCGCTGTCATTTTAGTTTATGAAACGGCATGTAACTGTTAAATTCTCTTGACGTCTCATCAGTTACAACGACGACAAGTATTCTTGCAAAAGGAAGCAGAACTTACAACAAAACAGCTAGGTCTCGACAGTAACGGAACGGCTCTGATGCAACGGTCAATTTGATTAAGATTATTTTAATATGAACGAAAACATTTTGGTACCGATGCGTCGTCATAAAAGCGGTGGCGATCTTTAGTTACCGCCTAAAAGTACACGACGATGTCCATTCGATACGAGTTTTACAATTGTGAATGGTTATTTATTTTCGCAATTGAATTAGTCGGTGAAATATAGCACTGTGAAACCTCTTACATGTGTAACAGGTTAACTTAAACTGTATTACGTCACGGAATGACTACAGAAATGTAATAATGCTGTGGGGATTCTGTTAATGTCTGCAGCGAATCTTTCGGTTAGTTGGTTTAAGATTGAAATTCATCATTTTAATATTAATTGCAGTATACCAGACAGCTCCATTCAAACAGCTAAGAAAATCAGACTTTATCTTTCTGGTTAGTTTCCTCAATTGTATCATTTGAAACAAGTTTTCCGTTTAAACAGCCATTTTTGTTAACGACTTCCTGTTTCTATGGTAACCACTTCCGTCAAACGACAATGCCATTCGGTTTGAATCGGACGTAACCATGTAATTGGTCTCCGATTACTTTAATATTCCGACAGAAAGACGTATGTGTAATAGTCCTGAGTGTTATGAATTTGTAAAAGGAAGTTTGAGGTTTGAGTAAGTTAATTTATTCAGAGAATTTACAGCTGAAATCAAACGTTCTGAAGGAATATGTAACGTGTATATGGCCCCGGTATTATTTTTGAAGTAATACAAGGCGCTTTAAAATATATGTAGCATAGAATACATGTATAGTGTACAACAATTACCTCTAGAATTCGACATACATAAAAATAAGAGGGAGAATACCTGAGTATCAACGTAATTCGATTAAGAACTTGAAATCGAATAAACAAGGACATGTTATGAACAAAGGAACGCTTTTCACGCAAACATCTTACAGAGAGTACAGAGAGTATAAATCCAGGGTACATTTTCATGAAAACATTCTCATGATCAAGCATGTTGTTTTTTTTTGTGCTGAAGCCCAATATCTTCTTCTGGTTATAAATTGTTCAAAATATCTTATTTTTTCAATGATTTGGAAACAAAATTCAGGAGACTTAAAACGGAATTCAGTTTTCAATCTTCACAATAGACTTTTTGTTCGGTTGAAATGATTTAAGTGAGTTAGAAAGTAAGAAAGCGTGAGTGAGTACAGTACCCATACCTGAGCACCAGAACGGTTTCGAGAATACATGCTCAGGATTTTCGGAAGAGAAATTTGCTCTCCTTCATTGACGACAGCTTCCATGAAAATCTAAGTCACACAAAGTATTACCATGTCCACAAAACGAGAATCGGGGTAATGATAAAGAAACAATAAGGGTTGTAAAGGCACCTTTCCCTCTTCCCTGATTCCATGTATTCTACAAATGCCTTAGAACACTTTAGTCATTTATTTGTTTTGATGTCACTCTGGTAAACTATTAGCCGCTTCCTACCGTCTTGTCTAGGGAGATTTTCTCTTTAGTTCATTCGGTAGAGCGTACGACTAGTTAGCCGGAGGTCCCGGGTTCGACTCCTGGCGTAGGCATTGACAAAATAATGACCTCTGTTACGTTCAAATTTATAACGAAATGGGTATATAGTGTGCGGTGAATACAAATAATATTTCCAGACATGTGTCTCTGTTCTTCGTATTTCTTGTGATTACCGTACCAGATATGGTGCTGATATATCAAAGGTAAATTTTCACTAGACACAGTCTGGTTGCTGAGGTCCAGACTAACACAATATCGTTATATCTCCTTGTTATATACCTATATTTCACTCAAGTCACCGAATATTTCAAACTTTGCATGTGCACTAACGCACTACAGGTCAATGTTTGTCAGTACAGAAGGAACAAAATATTTAAACAAACAAGTCATTAGCGTGATGTAGAATACGTGTATCGTGGCCAATGATGATCCCTAGGGACCCCAATCAACTAAAAGTCGCACACGTGCCAAATTGACCCATGTTGTTTACTTTATTCTGTCCACGTCAGAGTGGTGTGTAATTAGGGGGGATATTAAACAGCTAGTGTATCAACGCGATGGGGCTGGTAATGAGGTACTCGGATCACGTAGCGGTCATCCCTATTGTCCCAATGCACAACTGCGAACTTCACGCTCATACACGTAGTGTAATATGCAGGACAAATCTCTTTGACAAGGAAATCCCGCCCACAATCGAGAGTTAGATTACCTGATGTTTTTGTTGTCTGATACCTTTGTACCTTACGGCGACAATTGGCGACATATTTCACTTGCTTGTTTCAAAGAAATATCAGAGACATATGCAAAAGGTAAACCAAGATAACGCTTTCTACATGATATATATTGCCTCTGTCAGGCAAGCTAGCTGAGCGTGCCTGTCGTTTTTTGCCTCCGTCCAGTTAACTTATTCTACTCTGCGCCAAGTTAACTTATTCTACTACGTCTGTATTGCCTGTGCCAAGTTAACTTATTCTACTATGTCTGTATTGCCTACGCCAAGTTAACTTATTCTACTATGTCTGTATTGCCTGCGCCAGGTTAACTTATTCTGCTATGTCTGTATTATCTGCGCCCAGTTAACTTATTATATTATGTCTGTATTGCCTGCGCCAAGTTAACTTATTCTACCTCATGTGTAGCGCATGCTTAAGTTATATGGTAGAAGGTCAGTGACCCCTTCACGTAATGAAAGAACATGTAATACGACATGGAACACTTACCGTTCTAGATGTAATACGACATGGAACACTTACCGTTCTACATGTAACACAACATGGAACCCTTACCGTTCTACATGTTTTACAACATGGAACACTTACCGTTCTACATGTTATACAACATGGAACACTTACCGTTCTAGATGTTATACGACATGGAACACTTACCGTTCTACATGTTATACAACACAGACACTTACCGTTCTAGATGTTATACGACATGGAACACTTACCGTTCTAGATGTTATACAACATGGAACACTTACCGTTCTACATGTAATACGACATGGAACACTTACCGTTCTATATGTAACACAACATGGAACACTTCCCGTTCTACATGTTATACAACATGGAACACTTACCGTTCTACATGTTATACAATATGGAACACTTACCGTTCTACATGTAACACAACATGGAACTCTTACCGTTCTACATGTTATACAACATGGAACACTTACCGTTGTACATGTTATACAATATGGAACACTTACCGTTCTACATGTAACACAACATGGAACACTTACCGTTCTATATGTACTACAGCATGGAACACTTACCGTTCTACATGTTATACAACATGGAACACTTACCGTTCTACATGTTATACAACATGGAACACTTACCGTTCTACATGTAATACAGCATGGAACCCTTACCGTTCTACATGTAATACAACATGGAACACTTACCGTTCTACATGTAATACAGCATGGAACACTTACCGTTCTACACGTAATACAACATGGAACACTTTCCGTTCTTTATGTACTACGACATGGAATACGTACTGTTCTACATGTAATACAACATGGAACACTTACTGTTCTACATGTAAAACAACATGGAACACTTACCGTTCTATATGTACTACAACATGGAATACGTCCGTTCTACATGTTTTACAACATGGAACACTTACCGTTCTACATGTTATACAACATTGAAGACTTACCGTTCTACATGTTATACAGCATGGAACCCTTACCGTTCTACATGTAATACAACATGGAACACTTACCGTTCTAGATGTTACACAACATGGAACACTTACCGTTCTACATGTAATACAGCATGGAACACTTACCGTTCTACACGTAATACAACATGGAACACTTACCGTTCTATATGTTATACAACATGGAACACCTACCGTTCTACATGTTATACAACATGGAACACCTACCGTTCTACATGTAAAACAACATGGAACACTTACCGTTCTACATGTAACACAACATGGAACACTAACCGTTCTACATGTAACACAACATGGAACACTAACCGTTCTACATGTAATACGACATGGAACACTTACCGTTATACATGTAACACAACATGGAACATTTACCGTTCTACATGTTATACAACATTGAACACTTACCGTTCTACATGTTATACAGCATGGAACCCTTACCGTTCTACATGTAATTCGACATGGAACGCTTCCCGTTCTATATGTTTTACAACATGGAACACTTACCGTTCTACATGTAATACAGCATGGAACACTTACCGTTCTACACGTATTACAACATGGAATACTTACCGTTCTTTATGTACTACGACATGGAATACGTACTGTTCTACATGTAATACAACATGGAACACTTACCGTTCTATATGTACTACAACATGGAACACCTACCGTTCTACATGTAATACAACATGGAACACTTACTGTTCTACATGTACTACAACATGGAATACGTACCGTTCTACATGTTTTACAACATGGAACACTTACCGTTCTACATGTAATACAACATGGAACACTTACCGTTCTATATGTACTACAACATGGAACACCTACCGTTCTACATGTTATACAACATGGAACACTTATCGTTCTCTAAGTAATACAACATGGAACACTTACCGTTCTACACTCATAACTGTAAGCGTCATCACAGAGCAGATCATGGACACATTTTGGACGTACACATACGCTTTACAAAGGAACACACCCAGTCGCCAACTGTACGAGAAAAACGTCACACCCTGCAAACAGAAAATGCCATGTCAATTGTCACAAACCTAAATCTTAGCCAAGAAATATTTTACAAACATAAAAAAATAATATTCGGACAACCGGCTTTAAAAAATCTTTTAGTTAAGAAATATTGAATGTCTATGTTTTTGTTAGATGTCAGAAACAAATGAATTCCCCGACTCTCAATGCTTGATAGTTTGAAATCTGTTTTAATTAGACATGATTGATGTACACTCTTGATCAAATAATATAAACGATACGAAAACTCATATGGTCGATACATTTGGTCCTGAAGTACATGGAAACAAAAGTGTTTGGCTTGCTATGCTTCACCACAATAACACATGACAGACTTCTCAGAACTAGAGATGACCTTTACACCTGTAAAGCATGGTTGATCAATTACATGCCTTGTCTTTTCAGGTGTTTTGCCACTGGCACTTACGACATGCATTTTAGAAGTGCAAACCAATATGGCTGCTTTGGACGAGACACCGGTGGATGAGTATGTATTCCAAACCGTGGTACATCATTATAACCCTGGTACATGT